ATCTATGGATGAGAAGGACAAGGACATCATGTCGAAAGACTTCGGGGACAGGCCCTGGGAGCGCGACGCTGGAACCTTGACATGGTGCAATCGCCCTCGGTTATACTGGGTAACATGGGAAATCAGGGAGACGGAGCCGGAGGTGAAGGTGACCGGACGCCGTCTGACCCTGAGCAACGATCGGGGCTGGGAAAAGTCAGTGGAAGCAGGGTGGACAAAGGTCGACCCCACTCAGTCATTTCCCACCTTCACCACCTCAAGACCTCGAGACAGCAGAGGACACCGGCCCGCAGGCATTGCCGCTTGTGATGAGGAGACGATCAGGCGATGGGAGTGCGACAGGCATCGTTTCCCACCTTACCAATACCTTCCCAGGCACTGTTTACAAAACCGACGAGGGGACCTTCGCTTGCCAACCATACACGAGAGGGAATACATGATGGGTCTACCCGTAGGATACACTCAAATGTGCATGGTGAAGTCTCAGCGCAAGAAAGAGGAGTTCCTTGACAAGAGGTTGACTTTGGTAGGAAACGCCTGGTCCGTTCCGGTAGTTGCATGGCTCATTGTGGACAATTACTTGGAGCTCGGGGTTTTTGCCCTGATTTGACGCCGTCACAGGTGTTGGACCGCTTGGACGTGGAGACAAACCCCTTCATACAGTCTCGGTTGATGCGTGCTCCACTACGCCCAAACTTACAGCCGGATGAGACCTCGGAGCAGGGGTTGGTTGAACAACTCGGACGCCTTGTTTCCACCAAAGGATCTGACCTTATGCTCACGAGTTCGAAGTGCCTGCACCTCAGGGGCCACCTCCCCCGCCGTTTCGTCAACGAGTTCGTGCGGGATCTTCTCCAAGAGGTCATTAGACTCTCCAGCAGGTTCGTCCGTCTGGCAGGACTTTGTCCTTTCTGATCTCACTGAGTGAAGAGTTTCGTACTAGGTTGTGCTGCTGCGATCGTTGCACTAAGACTCGATGGACATGCTGGGCAATCCCTACGCTGTTCAGGAAACCCATCGGCAAGACCTTCGAACAAGGATAGCATACCTGACCTGCATACTCCTCTGGCACTAAACTGCTGGGCAACGCCTTGTTGAAGCAGAGGTAAGGGAACCAGCAAGGTGGCAACCCCAGGTTGTAAAAGAAACACCGCAGATCCTCACTTGAGATCACCAGATTTTCCCCTGCCTCAATGTGAAAGGGGGACATCCCAAACCAGTGCGGTAACGTCTGTATGTCACCCGCCATTGATTGACAGATGGCGTTGAGTGGCACTAAATTCATCATAAGCCGGTAAATGGGGATCCCGTTGGCCTCTTCGTTTTTCTCGACTCCAAAAAGTCCGTTGAGCAACAATTGCCCCTCAACACGAAAAACCTCCGACTCAGGGATCACCCCGAACACCCCTGCTTGAATGAGTCCTCTGGCAACGTCCTCCCAGTCGTGGTCACTCACCATCACCCGTGCCTTCTTGAAAGGTCCCCGTTCCGAAGGTGGCTTCAGGAAGGCTGGGAAATGCTCAAAATGTAATGGCGGCGCCCTTGTTCACAAATGTCGGTAAGATGAACAACGCCAATTTCCTGGGGTAACGCGGGTTTGATATTGGACCAGTTGAACTTCAGGGCGGTTTTCACCTCGTCTCCCTTATAGTCTATGGATCGTGTACGGAAGAACTCGCCCCACTCAAACCCTGGTGTCGTCTCCTTCACCTCCTTCATCCGAGCGACGTCCTCCACCAGACCCGCAAGGATCCGAGCCTGCATCTTGGTGACTGGTCGTAGGTGATGAGCCCCATTCTCTTCCTGACCAAAGTTGGAATGACAACCCCACATTGAATTCAAAGCCATGCACAAAGACAAAAGGTGAAAGCTGATTGCGGGAGGTTGGAAGAGGGAACGTGTCATGGACCTTAATCCCTTGACTTTGATCAATCCCCCCCTCCGTGGTCTGGCTGCAGAGCTTCAAAACCCCCTGCAGTCCACCTAACACTGCCTGACCCATCTCCCAAATCTGTAAGCCGCTCACATCTGAAGGCGCACTTCTCTTTTCCGATCCATCTCGGATCAAGGGGTCTGGAGAACGCTGCATTGTCGTGCGTCCCGCTTTTTGAAATGCCCATAGGGAAAGTCACCGCTGGCACTGGAGGGAACACTGACGCGCTCCCCGGCGGCCCTTTCAAATTGGCGCCCTCAGCTGTCGCGTCGTGGTGCATTGCTCCACAAGGCCTCCAGCCTCGTCGGATCGTGCCGGCATCAGGGTCTGTATCCCCCGTCATCCTCTCCGGGGCTGCGCTTGCTCCCCTCTGCCTGTTGCCAGGGCTCTCCAACCCCGCCTCGCTCCTTCTCATGTCTCCTTCTTCTGTTTGTCCTTCCCTTTCTTGCCTTTGCCTTTTCCCTTCTCTCCTTTCTCTCCCTTCTGAAGTTCCTTTCCACTGCCCTTTGACCACTAGGTTCCCGCCTGATGTGCCTGAGTCTCTGCCTTGTGCTCCGTGGTCGCGATGCGTAACTCCTGCCTCGTTGAGAGCGTGGCCGTGTCGCTGGGCAGGAGTTCCAGGCGATGAGCTGATGCCCAGGGGAACCCGCCGATCTGGGCTTCCAGCGACTTCACCCTCTGGATCAGGGTGTCGAGGGCTGAAGGCAGCTGACCTCGGAGGACTTGATCTCCCACTGTACAAAGTGTATGTAGTTCCCTTGCCATTGGACCAGATACACGCCTGCTGAGCATCTGTCGATAATACCTCAACAAAGTGGGGACCCAGCCCTCCGGCTGGTGGGTCTCCTGCCCCGCTTCCAGCAGCATCAACTCCTGCATGTCTTCGATCGCCGCTGCTGACAAGACTCCAGGGTATGCCACCCCGACTGCTCTGATCTTGCGCGGCTCGCCGAAGATCGCTTCGCCTCTCTGTGGTGCTTCGCTGCCGCTGCTCTTGCTTCGACTGCCTGATCTGCTCCTCTTTCTCCTCTGTGCGAACTTTTGGGCCCTTCGCTTCACGCGATTCCGCGTCCTTCGGGAGGGGTCCAGTCCACTCCGACCGAACATCGTCTTCTGGTCGACGACCACGTAGGACTTGTCTTCGCTCGTGCTGCTGCTGCTTGAAGTCTCCACAGGGCTCTTTCCCCCGCCTGCACCCTCTTTCTCCTTGTGACGCTCCTTCTTCTTTTCTCTTCCTCTTGATCGGCTCGCGGGACTTGGGTCTTTCTTCCTTTTCTTTTTTGCCGAGCTGCTCGAACTTTTCCGCCGCTTCTTTTCCTTCTTTTTCTTTTTTTCGCTTGACGTCCCCCTTTGCGATGCCCTTCTCCTTTGAGGCGTCCAACTCCGCCAGGCGTCCTCCTCCGGCAGCAGGGTTCGGAAGCTCTTCCATCCGCCCCCGAAGCCCGGCCAACTCGTCGTCCCCTCGTTCGCCCGCGCTGATGAGGACGTCTCTCCAAGGCAGGTCTGCTACCTCGTGAAGGCCTCCGATTGCACGAGCTTCTTGACAATGAAGTATGCCTGGCCCCACGGTGTCTTGAGAGCACTCTGCATGACACATGTGCACCCGGGCCAGTTGACGACTGCCGGTCGCCCACGTGAGTAGGCTCTCGAGGTCGGTGCCGGTGAGCTTGATCATCAAATATCGCCCTGATATGTCCTTGTTCTCTTCGATGATTTTCCCCGTGAACTGACAGGGATTGTTGAAATAACTGGCTCTCACGCCATGAACTCTGACCCGATCACCAGGTCTGACTCCTCTACAGGGCCTCCGCCCCGCCTCACTTCCTCTTCCATGGCGGGCCTCCTCAACACCCCTCCTCTGCGGGGTGCCGCCGCTGGCCGCCGGGCTACCTTCGGTGCCATCCTTTACCCTTTCCTTTGCCGCGGCCTGAGCCGCGGTTGTGTGAGTAGTATTGCCCTCGTAGAACGTGTTTGTACCCTTTCCACCTGGGAGCTCTCTGACTCTCCTCCTGATAGTAACCAGGTGGGGAGTGCGAAGGCGTCCGAGGTCTTCGTGGCAAAGGTTTTCTGGCCGAGGGTTTTGCCGTTCTCGACAGGTTGAACTTCTTGTCTGATGCGTCGTCGTCCTTGACTTCAGGAGGTGATTCGTACTCCTCTTCTTCCCAAGGGGTTTGATCGTCGTCAACAACCTCCATGGGGCTTCCCTGCACTGACTCCTGCTCCTCTTTGACAGGGCTCCTGCCCCGATCTTTTCCTTTCTCCTTGGTCGAACTCCTCCTCCGTGAGCGCGATCTCTCCTTTCGTGAACTGCTCTTCGTCCTCCGTCGTCTCCTCCTCACTCTCTCACTATCCACCTTAGTGGGCTTGGCGTCTGCCACAGGCTCCTTGTCCTTGTCTCCTTCGCTTTCTTTCTTTACCTTGACTGTCGCTGATCCAGCACCTGGGTCTCGTCGACCGTGATGCTCTCCACTGCGAAAGGGATCAGGCCCCGGTGCTGCTGGTGCACTGTCGGGAGTTCTCCCAGGGATCGGAGCCCCGTCCTCAGTGACAATGCCCGCGGTTCGATCGGCTTCGAAAACCTTTCGCAAGCCCCCTCGATGTGGTCGACCACGCCCCGCAGGTAGTGGAACAGCCGGTCACCCGAATGAGCTGGTACACGGGTGCTGACCAGCTTCTGGATCCGGGCAGCCAAAAAACAGGGATTACAGAGCCCCGAGCTTCCTGCGGCCAGTCGCAGCCGTCCGTGGCACGAGCCACAAACTGCCATCCACAGCTGACCAGCCGAAACACTACGGAACAGACATAAAGGTGGCCTACTCTTTATTCCCGGGGGCGGGGGACCATATATGTATGCACACGTACACTGTACACACTTTCTTTGTTGCCTATGTCCACTTGCTAGCATAGCTGTATAGTGAGGTTGTCCTTTTTGAAGGGCAACGTGAATTTCGAGATGCTGAGTCTCAAAGAAGCAGAGAAATTAGTGAAAACGAAAGCAACAACACCAAAGTCACAGTGTCAGCACAAATCAACGCAAAGTCTGCAGCAAAACCTTGCTGCTCCAGGCCTCAACCCCATCAGGAAGCGAGAGGCTTGACGCCTGAGACTTTAGGCCCATTGGAAGACTTTCATTCTTACGTTCAACAATGATCAAGTTCTCAGCAATTCCATGCGAATAACAGCGCAAACGATACACTGGATGGAGATTAGTTAATACCCTGCTTCATCTTTCACCTTGGGAATTCAAACGATTCAAGTGTTCTGAGGGTTCTTGAGCAACTCTTCAGTGGGCCTCCTGCACTTCGTCCTGCAATGAAAGTAATTACTTTGGGTCTTTCTATGTCACACAAGCTCTTAAGGAAAAAACATGCAAAGGGGTATGCCGTATGCTTCCTAACTAGCTAGCGTTTCCCCATTCTTAAAGGCACCTCTAAACTTTGACTGAGGTTTGGAACAATATCTATGCTCCTGCGGCAGGTCCGTGTGCTCCGCCTTGGCAGTTGCGTAGTTGTTCTATGAGACACGCACCACTCAGGGCAAAATGAAACACCCAAGCTGGCTCTGTGATTGCCTGTTTCTTACTAAAATCATCTAAAATCATCTAAAATCTCTACATAATCTCTTCACAAAAAAAGAACAATCAGTGCCGTGAAAGAAGTCGTCTGTCGAGCTGTCAAGCCCACTCTTTCATGAAAGGGAATAGCATGAAACGGATTCAAACCCGTGGCCTCCAGAGCGGCAAACACCTCCTGCAGAACAAGGACTGTGGTACCACCGTTTGCTTCTGCGTGGTAGTCTGGCCATGTCCCGCCTCTATTCGGCACTGTTTGGCCTTGCCGCATGAAGCTTTGCACAATTGCAGAACTATGTGCAAGTCGACCAGAGATGCAAAACTCTCCTCAAAGCTTGTTGCGCTTTTCTAAGGAAAGCTAAGGGCATCACATCCAAATCGGGCAGCAAAGAAAAGGATCCCTGCTTAGATCTGTAGTTCAGCATTGGTGGTTCCTGCAAAGGTCAACCAAAACATACAGTAAGTGGTGTTGAAATGTTGGATAGAATATGATAGAATACTTATGAAGACTTCGAGCAAGCATTCCTGGATTTCGCCCGTCAAACTGCTTCTGATATAAATTTATGCAGCTTACCACTTATATAATAGTGGTACTGAAACGACTTGGACTTGAACAACCTTGGCTTTGTCCAGGCCTCCATCAGCCTTGTCTGAGCCTACATGAATAGACTCCAAACAAATGAAGAGAAATGGTATATAGATCATGATTATAGCCATTGTAGCATTGCAGGATACAAAGATTCGTTTGGCATTCTGGACTCTAAACGCGCCTGTTGGACCTGGTGCGGCATGAAGGTGTTGGTCTGAGATGCACATGCGTGCGGCATGCACACTTTGCCCCAGAAAGAAAATTGGACGAACAAACATGTCCAAGTTCTTTGCAGTTCAAGTCATAACTTTAGAACTCTAGAAATTTCTAGTCTAGAAATATATGCAGCAAAGAGGCCACTCTTGGGCACTCGTCCACCGGCACCTACACAGTCGCCAATGTATCTACAGTATCCGAATCATGTGTGCAATGATTACTGCAAGAGGAGAGCCTCTTTTCGTGGTGGCAACGATTTGGAAGATCTTGGAGCCCCTCTGGCAAATTTCGGCTGCGCAACTTGGCGAGCCTCCGCAACAGTAGAAACTTCGGTTCAATAAATTGCAAAGCTGCGAAGCTTCAAAGGAAGAGGCACCATACCCGGTTTGGGTGTCTGATGGATCCTGAGGCAAGCGCCTTAGCAGCGGCTAGACTTACCTGGCTCCAATCAGTGGGGGCCCTTCCTCTGAGAGTTCCTCACTTTGCGTCCGAAACAAATCAAGGGGGGGACGGGTGACCACCCCCCCCCCCCTGTCCGACCAAGGGGGGGCAGGGCGACCACCCCCCCCTCCTTTGTCGAGACCCAGACCCTGCTCCTATTGTGCCACGTCACCAATCCCTTGCTCCAGACGTTTCCCCTATACCGCCTTGGAGGTCCCTCCGAACAGCTGGGCGACTGCGGTCCCATTGTTTTGTCGCGACTGTGGTAACAGGCTCGTCACAGGCTCCAAAGTACAGCTGTTCGGTGACAGGCTTTCATGCGCACCACCACTCAAAGACTAGTGCCACATATGTCTTGACAGCTCTTTCGGTGGTACTAGTGTTACATCCTCATATAGAAATAGACTTCAAGTCGCTGGTACTGTTTATAGCAACTGCACACGGCAAGGAGTCTGCCACTGCAAGGAAAATGGTCTAATCTCACCGCGCGCCATCCACGCAACCAATGCCCAGCTTCTTGGTGTCCGGATTCAACCTTGGCCACACCGGCCGCCCAAGCTGAACGGGAGGATCCAGCTCAAAGCATGTGTTCGACGTTACGACTTGCAAAACAATGCAAGCTCCCAGAAATCATCCAGGTGTACATATGGCATAGCACAGCCCCAAACCAAAACCTATTTTTCAGAATTCCCGAAAAGCGTGGAGTGAATGGGGGCTGACAGGGGCTTCAGCTGACCAGTGTTGGCAACAATTATATATACACAGAACTAACCTCACGGAAAGTGCCACCGCCACAAATGTCCAGCTGCTTCAAAACAGAACCTACAAACCCTGTCGACGAGAGCGCAAAGAAGAAGAAACGCTGACCTTGCAGCACGGCCAAACTCCAAAGCCCAGGAGCCAAACCACTTTGTCAAGCACAGCTTCACCTTTGTCCCATGCCACCTGAGCATGGCACCCGCTGCTCAGAGCTTGAAACTCCAGACAAGGTGGATCGTCAAACACGTGACGGGCACCCCTACTCCTCTGAAAGCATGTGCATATAGCCCAAACAATCCCAAACACGATTCTGTGAAACAGGTGCTTTGGAAAGGACTTGACATGGACAATCGAGAGAACTACACATGAAACCGTTCGAAAGTGACAACTCTTCGAGGGGTCCCCACAATTGCCCATTCTCCACACGTCCGGTTCAAAGCATCCACGAGCGGCAGCGCCTCATGGCCAGCGTCTTGGACGTGGAGGGCGCAAGAACCTCTGCGATTCGGTTGCTGGCGCGTCCGGTATCAGTCCGGCATCGGCCGTGCCACTTCATTATTGGCGACGGTGCTCGGAGGGTTGGTCACTTCCGATGTTTTGATAACCCATCACAAAATCTCTACAACCGCACGACCCGTTTCTGCCAACCCATCCTCCGTTTGTTCCAACCAAGTCGCGTCCTTTTGCTGCGGCCCGCTCCTTTCAAGAGCCTGGGCCGCATCTTCCCATAGCACTGGGGAAGCGGGGGTAACAAGACGTCAATGTGTCAAACCTTTCTTGAAATCACATGGGGCCTCATCAGTTGCGGCTCATGTGCATATCCATGCGCCTACTACCCCACACACCCGGCAAGGTATGATGTTCTATATACAGGTACATATACGTCTATATGTCGCGCGTAAACGTGTCCTTGCTGTTGTATAGCTGTTGCTGCTGTTGCTCTTGGCATTTTCGTGGTGAATCATTGATCATGAACTCACATGATCTTTGACACGTGACATTTTATTCAGATCCACTTTAAAATATACTAAAGGTATAAGGTATATAAAGTAGACCACCCTGCACTTACTAGCAACATTCAGACCAAGTGTTGGGATTAAATAGGGTTTGGTATTATCAGTTTGAAAATGTGTGATATTATTATTGTCAAAAAATATATGTACACACAGTACAGAAGTTCCAAGACTCTACACTACAGAGCGAGCCCCACTGCCCTCAGAGGCCCCGCAAAATACCGGGCCTGAGAGGGTTAATCGTTTACCAAGTTTTACACAGTTGCCAGTCAATTATAATCATCCCTTCATCGCGCGCATGACTTTTCTGTCTGCGAAGGCTGGATACTATATTGTCTTTGCTCAAGCTTTGCGGCGACGCGTCGGTGGCGTCATTAGCAAGGTCCTTTGCCTTGTCTGCCAGCCTGTACGAATTTTGCTGGGCGTCATGGGCAGGCTGTCACACTCACAGCTCCGCACAATGGCTCGCAAGGCAACTTTCGACGTCTCATCCAGGTAGGGGCCAATGATCAACATCCAGCAGGACAAGCATGCCATATCCATCTCAAGCATTTCAAGGCTTTCAATGAGCGTTGCCATCGGGCCAAAATCTGCCTTTATTTTGAGGGCTGTCAAAAGCCACTTGACTCCTTCAAAGCCACTTGACTCAACTGTGAGTTCAGGCACTGAAAGACAAGCCGTTTTCCACAAACTGCCACAGACGCATTGTGGGAAGTCCCACTGCGCTGCTCTCACATAGCACAAGATGAGCCAATTAATTATAGGAAACGGCATGTGCACTGTGCAATGATTCTCTAATTTCAACATCGATGAAGACGACGCGCCTCGGTGTCATGTATGAAATGGAAAGCAGGTGGTCTCGATGGTCATCTGCTCAATAATTTAGTAGGTCGCACTAAGATTGAGGTACAGTGTGTATGCCCAACCCAGCTTGTGAGTATGGGGTATGTGTCAGTTTCAGAAAATAAGTTGGGTGTGGTGTTTCAGTATTAGGGTTCGTTTGAATGTAGTGAGTCGTTTGTCACTCGTGATAGAGACATACTGACATACTACAAAGAACAAGTTGTGCTACAATGAGGCTGGAATTTGAACCATGGGTCAGCCAGCTTCGAGACCAACAAACAAATCAATCCAAGTCACACTTGTGTCAGTCGAAATACTTCGCCCTCATTCGACGTAGGCCACCCCCACAAACCATCGAATTGGCTTTCGTGTGCTCAATCACAGTCAGCTCATCTGCCCTTCTAATCACAACTATCCTCTCCAAGCGCTGTGCAAATTCTCGCGCTTCCCCAGACACCTCAAGCAAAAAACACCAGACAAACACTTTCACAAACAAAGAAACTTGTCCTGCGCACAAAACACAGCCAGTGTTGAGAGCAGCCGAAGAACAGACTCTTTGAGCTCTTGGATTCTTCTTTCTCTCCAGGTAGCCAATGGGGTACGATTGCACCAAGCGGATTTGGACTTTCTGGGCTTTTGTTGGAGGGGCCATGGGAGCTGAAAACAGCGGCAATGATTTGTCTAAGTCCCTGCCAAGCCAAAACCTACTAGGAACCTCATCCCACAATCAATACACATACTATAGGACTTGTGAAGCTCAGCTGAAGCAGCGATGCACCAGAACATGACAACGATTACACTCTCTGCAAAAGTCACCTTTCCACTCACGGCAGTCAGCGTCAAGAGTCATACAATGTCGACGGCATTGGGCCATGTCCGGAGGGCGCGCCCACTTGTCATCAGGCAGCTCTGCAAGCAGACCCACGCAATGCAACATGCGTGGAAGCACACGCTGGAGAATGTTCAGGCTCATGGCATCACCGAAAGCTTTGCCCAAATGAGGCTTTGAGTTGCAGGTCTTCAGCAACATCTTGATCCACTTTGGGTGCCACCCTTGCAGCATTCCTTGTTCAAAGACGCTCAAGAAGCGAGACCTGTCGAGGAGGTAAAATCCTCGCTCGCCACCACGTGCCTTGGTCAAACATGGAAAAATCCCCACCATCATGTTGAAATAGTTCTTTCCTGCTGCAGCATCGACTATGACTGGTTGAGATGTTGGCTGCATCTTCTTCACTCGCTTCTGGGCCTGCCTAATATTCCTCTTGGCAGACTTGCAGAGTTCGGCTGGTCGACAATCCGAGTTTGCTTCCGTCGTCATGCTTCAGGAACCGATTTAGCTCAGAAAGAAAAAGCCCTTCCAGGAACAATGTAACGCTTCAAGAGGGCTGCGTCTTGTAGACAGCATCTTAAAATAAAGTTCACTGTACTAAACGTTTTCACAGAAATGCTGCGCAAAAAAATATCTATATAACCAACGTCTTATAAGGCGTATACAACGCGTATACAAACAAAACTATTTCCTGTGTGCCTGACGTGCTTTTGTCAACTGCGCCGGGTGCCGGTGCTGGGTACTGTGAGCTGGGTGTGCGCATGCCATGCACACAACACACACCCAGTTCTGGAAAAGACCAGAACTGGCAACACGCGCAAAAATCCTATTTAGCCAGTGTCGGACTTTAAAAGCCGACGCTGGAAGTAATACACACAACACACACCCAGTCCTGGAAAAGACCAGAACTGGCAACACGCACAAAAATCTTATTTAGCCAGTGTCGGATTTTAATAGCCGACGCTGGAAGTAATACACACAACACACACCCAGTTCTGGAAAAAAAACCAGAACTGGCAACGCGCACAAAAATCCTATTTAGCCAGTGTCAATTTTAATAGCCGACACTGAAAGTTGAGTTGAGCCCAACGATTCCGAAAGAAAAAGAAGATGAGTTGCACCTTTCGGCGCTATTTTGCACCTTTCGGCGTACTAGTTACAAGTAGTGTTTGTTGGTTATTTTGTGGGCTGGGCGTGCCCAAGCTAAGGCCCATGAACGCCAGCAGGACGAAGATGCTAATTCCTGAGTCTCCTGAGTTCTGGTGATCACAACCCTTTAGAAAATCTAGCTTTCAGGAGCTATGTTCCAAATAATGTCCAGTGCAGACGTCAGCCAACCTGCCACCCCATATGATTTCGGAGATAAATAGAAACATTATTTTGCACTAGACCCCCAGGATTCAATTCTGGGAGTACAGACGGGGATCTTGTCATCATCTCCTTTACAAACTGGTTGTTCAGGTGCACTGACTGAGGCTTGTGCGCATCCTATGCGTCGTGGTCGCCATCATAGCACCCTTCGCCTTTGCGGCGCTGACCTGAGGCATTAGAGT